CTGACCAGCACCTGCTCTCCAGGGTCTCAGGCAGAGAAAGGTCTTCCACATCACCGCCTTCTTCTACCTGGCGATGGTACCTGGACCTCCGGCATGCAAAGACAGCCCCTCCCTGGCTGTGGCTCAGTGGCAGAGCTTCTGCGTGGCAGGCAGAAGGTCCCAGGTTCAATCCCCGGCATCTCCAGTTGAAAGGATGAGGTAGGAGGTGATGGGAAAGACCTCCGCCTGAGACCCTGGAGAGCTGGAATGAGGGGCTGTGGCTCAGTGGTAGAGTATCTGCTTGGCATGCAGAAGGTCCCAGGTTCAATCCCCGGCATCTCCAGTTGAAAGGACCAGGCAGGGGGTGATGGAAAAGACCTCCGCCTGAGACCCTGGAGAGCTGTACAGAGGGGCTGTGGCTCAGTGGTAGAGCATCTGCTTGGCATGCAGAAGGTCCCAGGTTCAATCCCCGGCATCTCCAGTTAAAAGGACCAGGTGTTGTGAAAGGCCTTTCTCTGCCTGAGACTCTGGAGAGCGGCTGCCAGTCTGAGTAGACAATACTGACCTTGATGGACCAAGGCTCTCGTCCAGTATAAGGCAGATCCATGTGCATCATGTATTATGGGGGCTGTGGCTCAGTGGCAGAGCATCTGCTCGGCATGCAGAAGGTCCCAGGTTCAATCCCCAGCATCTCCAGTTTAAAGGATGAGGTAGGAGGTGATGGGAAAGACCTCCGCCTGAGACCCTGGAGAGCAGCTGCCGGTCTGAGTAGACAATCCTGAACTCGATGGACCCAGGGTCTGATTCTGTATAATGCAGCTTCTTGTGTTCAAATACGGTCCTCACAACTGTGATTGTGTGTGGTGTCTGAACTGAGCCCTGTATCTTTGGAAGGGGAAGCCTGGTTGGTTCTCCTTCGCTCAGCCTGCTTCTACCACACCTGGGAAGGCAATGTAAGCAAGCGGCTGGGCCAACACTGGTCAGGGATGCTCTAGGCTGGGCCTGCATTGAGCCGGGGGTGGAACTAGATGACCCCCCCGACTTTGTGGTTCGATGAAACCCTGGCTTCCTTTCATGGTAGGCCGCAGCCGATTCCGACAGCCCGCCCTGTCATGGTGAAACTAGTCTGCGAACCGCAGTCGTGAAGGGAGAAACTGGTGCATATCTGTGAGTCCAGGGAGTGCCCAGCCCTGGCATTGGTAGTTTTGTTGACCATATAAGGCAAAGTCCTGCTTTGCAGCAGGAGAAAAAGAGAGGGGGAGAGAGAGAGAGACGAAGAGTGGTAATTTGGACCTTATAGGGTAGTGATGACGGCCCCTGCGGCTTTGGGAAGAGGAAGTTGGAAGTTGACCTTTAATCCTTCCGGGTAGGGGAAGGGAGGTGAGGCGGGGGGGGGGGAAGGGTTTCTAATGTAATTATTAACGTGCTGTTCAATGGCTTTCCACACTTTGGCCGTGGAGTTCTCTGCCAAGTCTCCCCTCCCGGAAGGCGGAAAGGCCATAACTTTTGTAGCCTGAAATACCCTCCTCTCTCTGTGTTTTGGGACCCGAAAGGGGACGGGATAAAAGGGGTAACTTGGCTCTGTCAGAGTAACTGGGGGCGCAGATCCTCTCCGGGCTCCCACGCCGAGTCCTGGCGCAGTCCCGATAGAGGGTGCGCCGAAGGACTTCCTGTTGGGGCTGTGCCACATGCTTCCCTTCTTGGTGACACGGCACTTGGAGGTTATCGCGTCTGGCTGCTTTCCTCAAATCCCTTCATACGGTTTACATGGCGGAGATTTCTTATTTGTTTGGCAAAAGCGGCATCGGTTGAAGTGCCTCGAATCGTGGCTTAGCTTGTGATGGCTGTTTTTTGGCTCACTCTTCCAAGTTATAAACCTGGTTTCCCGGCAGCTCAGAGCGGCAAATCGAGAAAGACCCTTAAAAGATGGCGCAGAGAGAGGTTCTTCCCTAAAACAAGGTCTCCTGCATTCCTCAAGAGGTTCCTCCCCCCCACCCCCATGAAATGGCCATTTGCAGTATTACTATTTATCCGTGTGCTAGTGCAGCCTGTATGGGCCAATATGGAAGGACATGTGCAAAAGAGGAAAAGGTCTCTGCCCCACAAAGCTTACAGTGGCCCCGGTCACACGGGCAGGAAACTGCGGGGGAGAAGCGTGGCTGTTTGCCCTGGGGCAAACTACTGCGCAGTTACGCGATCAGACCTCCTGTGGAGGTCCTGTGGAGGTACCGTGGAGGTTCCATGGCAAGGGAGAGGTGCCGATCACAGGACAAGCCGGCGCGCAACGAAGAAGCGTGCGCCGCGGCAAACTGTTTTGTTTTTGTGTGTACATGACAAATGCGCATGCTCCGTTGGGTGCGCGTGCGCATCCACAGAGACTTGGACAAACCCCCCCCACCTTATTTGCAAGGGGACATGGGCGGGCGCCGGATGCCACCGGAAACGCGATCAGACGCCCGCCCTTGCCCCGTAGTTTCCGGAAACTAGTACCTCCGAGGTACTAATTTTTTGCCACGCAGTTTCGGCTGGAAGCCTTGGTTGAGCCACAGGAGTGCTACGCTTCCCAGATGTGCTGGTGAGATCGCGCCTGGAAACTCCGCCTGTTTTCCGTCTCACTTGCGTGGCTTCTGTTCCATGTGACCGCAGCCAGTGTAAATCTAGCGAGAACAACATACAGCTCGTTCCTTTGTTCTGGTGATTGCTGCGACTTGTTGCCTTTCCTCAGTGACCTTATCCTCAATCTTTCTGTCCTCCGGGCTCTTCCTGTGTGTCGGAACACTTTAGGAGCAGGGATCCTTGAAAACAAAATCCCCCTTGTTCCCTTTAAAATGGATAAGTTCCTCCGCCAGGTTCCGTTCAAGAGAAAATGTGTGTGACTTGTCACATTTCTGTTAACCGTTGTAGGGTGAAATACCTGCAGAAATCTCGGTGACAACTGTGAGAAAAGGGAAGGTGGGAGACGGGAACTGAGATTAGTTGAGGTTCTTTATTGTGGGGTAAAATACCTGCAGAAATCTTCGTTGACAACTACGAGAAAAGGGAAGGCGGGAGACGGGAACTGAGATTAGTTGAGGTTCTTTATTGTGGCGTAAAATACCTACAGAAACCATGCTGACAACAACAGCAAAAGGGGAAAAGGGGACACAGAAACTGAAATTAGTTGAGGTTTCAGTGAAGAAGAATCTTGAGGCCAAATAGAGTCACTCCTTGCAAGCCAAGCGTGGCCTAGTACAATCGCTTCCCTTTGCAAAGAAAGAACCGGTTTTTCATTTGTAAACTTCAGCATCCGCACAGTGTAGGGCTAAGCAGACCCCCTACACATGTGGGCACCCCAGGCCGTTCTGCTCTGCCAAGTGACTGAGGCAAGCCCCAGAGATGATGGCAACGCTCTCTCTCTCTCACAGCTGCTGGCTGCATCTGAAGCGAGTCCCTCGGGGGACTGGCGGGCGCTCCGGAGGCTTAGGTTGCTCCCAGTGTGTCTGCACTCATTTCTCCCCACCCCTTTTGCGTGCTGGACATCTTTATCGGCGGGGGGGTGGGGTGGAAAGCAGGGTGGAGTCGCAGCGGACTGTAAGGTTTTCAAGGGGAGAGACGTTCTGTGGTGGTTTGCCCTGGCCTGCCTCTGCATAACAGCCCTGGGCTTCCTGGTTGGGCTCCCATCCAAGCACGAACACCAGGGCTGACTGTTCTTAGCTTCTGAGATCTGGCCAGATTGGACCAACCTGGGCCATCCAGGTCAGTCACAGGTGACTTACGCTGACCCTGTAGGGTTTTCAAGGGGAGAGACGTCCAGAGGTGGGTTTGCCCTTGCCTGCCTCTGCATAGCAACCCTGGGCTTCCTTGGTGGATCTCCCATTCAAGTACTAGCCAGGGCCGACCCTGCTTCGCTTCCGAGATCTGATGCGACTGGACTAGCCTGGGCCCTCCAGATCAGGGCATTAAAGGGAAACATAAGTTTTTATTGGCACTTGTGGCCCAAAGGTTGGCCACCCCCCAGTGTTCCCTCTAAGCTGAGTTAGTGTGAGCCGGCTCCCAGTTTTTTAGCCTCCGGCTCACACATTTTTGTCTCCGCTCAGGAAGGGACGGCTCAAGACCAAACTAATTCATGCAGTCGCCAAATGACTCGCTCACAGTTTTAATGCCAGGAGCTCACAAAGTAGAACTTTTGCTCACAAGACTCCACAGCTTAGAGGGAGCATTGCTTGCATCCATCGTTTCAGCAATCTGTACAAAATTTTGGCATAAGACCACCTGCCTTTCCCAGGGAAAACCTGGGGGAAAGGAGACTGGCTAGCGGTGAGGCATACGGGTCAGGAGCAAGGCTCCCTCAAAGCTGTGGAGTCTCGTGGGCAAAAATTCTGCTTTATGAGCTACTGGGATTAAAGTTGTGAGCGAGTGACGTCATTTTGGGGACGGAGCCTGGGGAGGGCGGGGTTTGGGGAAGGGAGGGACCTCACGCAGTGTTCCCTCTGAGCTGACTTTAGTGTGAGCCAGCTCACAATTTCTCTAGCCTCCAGCGCACAGATTTCTGTCTCAGCTCAGGAAGGATGGGGGCTCCAGAGCAAACCGATTTATGCTGTAGCCAAATCGCTGGCTCACAGTTTTAATGCCAGTAGGTCACAAAGTAGGGTTTTTGCTCACCAGATTCCACAGCTTTGAGGGAACCTTGCACCCCACCCCAACGTGGTATAGCGTTTAGTATAGTGCATAACTTTGAAACAGCCCTAGGTGCTCTGCGAAGTAGCTATATCCTCCTCCACACGTGCCACCACTGAAATATATTACCAGTTATCTGACCCTGGGGAAGATCCTGCAAAAACCAGATTAGTCACCGAGGAGCATCTTTTCCCGCTGAGAACGGCTTGCTTCCCGGGCCCTCCTCTTAGGTGCTTTCTCTGAGTCCTTTTCCAGCGTCTTTTGGCTCCACAAGCCCGTTCCGCAGTGACCGTCTTCAGCTCTGTTGGCAGCTAGCGAAGGCCCAAGGCCCCCTCCTGATCCGTCTTCTTGTTTCCTCCCTGCAGGCAGAGGCCGATGTGGCGTCTCTGAACAGGCGCATCCAGCTGGTAGAGGAGGAGCTGGATCGGGCCCAGGAGCGGTTGGCCACAGCCCTGCAGAAACTGGAGGAGGCCGAGAAGGCGGCCGACGAGAGCGAGAGGTGGGCTGCCCGAGCCCCCCTCGGGCTCTTTGCCTCGAGCGGCGTCCGAGCCTTTTACGATCCAGGGCACGGGTGGTGGTGGGGGAGTTCTGTGGTTCGTGTGGCCGCGTGCGGTCCCTTGGCGCTGTCCCACTCGGCTGCCTCGCCCCGGTGCGGTACGAGATGAACCTAACAGGGCTGGTTCCGGGATGCCGGAGGTGGAAGTCCAAAATGGCGGCCCCTTACCCACACTCATGCTCTCAGGGAGCACAGTCCTCGGGAAAACTTTGGATTTCATGTAAAAACCAGCAAAAAGCCCGTCTTGGTGGCTCTCTGTGTGTGTATCCTGGTGCAGAGCTAGGGCCTGTTATATCGCAGGGAGACTCTGGGGGGGGGTGTTGCATCGGAGTGCTGCACACAGAGAGATGTAACACACACACACCCCCATGGTTAACAACAAGCACAGAAGTCCACAGTGCACTACCCCATGGGCATGGGTCATTTCCTGCAGGAGCGCACAGGAGCGGAGCTCCAGCAATAAAGAGCCCAGGGGGGCGGGCACATGCAACAAGCCCCGCCCCCTGCTCCCAACAGCCCTCAGTCAGAGCAAGAAGCAGCCAGGTAAGTTGCAGAGGCCCCCCCCCCCCCGGCCCAACCAATACAGTCCAGTGGCAGCTTTAAGACCAAGTTTTATTCAGGTACAAGCTCTCCCTCCCCTGCGAGGACAGATCTGCCCGTTCCCCCCCCCCCAATAGCTACCAATCCAAAACAGTCCAGTGGAGCCTGAGCGGTGGGTGTTGCCTTCTGACACACTTCCGGCTATGCCAGGGGCTGAGGCATATGCAAATAAGTTATGCTAATGAGCTCCTGCACCTTTTTTTCTACGAAATCACTCCTGCCCATGGGTACGTTTGGCGTTCTGACATGGCTGTCTCATGAGGCGGAGCCAGGCAGAAAATGGCTGCCGCAGCTTAACTTCAAAAAGACCGGGAACAGCCAGACCAGCAGAAGGGAGCATAAACGCATTCTCCAACCCCAGCAGTTACATTTGGGCTATCACCTTTGCTGATATTATTCAGTTGGGAGCCCGTTTATGTGGGTCGTCATACACCAGACTCTGTGAACCCTTCATGGGTCCATGATAATCCTGTGAGATCGTCCCTTTCTGTGAAATGGTGTGTTGATGGATACGACAGACACGATTGATGAAAGATCTCAAAACGAGGTCCCATCTGAAATCCTTGTCTCGTGACAAATGTATATCGTTGATTCTGCGGCGGCATGCAGAGTCCGGAGCCACGTTACTTGTGAGATAATTACATTGCCCCCCGCGACTGTTCATGCTACATGGCTCCTTTTGCAGGCAGTTCTAAGCTTTGAGCCGGGTTTCATCTACGATTCGTCGTTGGATGTTTATGTTGTAACACTGATTGTAAGAATTATTGTTACCGTTCCTGTTCGGTATAGCGGCTATACTCCCTTCTACTGTAGTGTAACTTCAGGCACACAGTGAAGATCCTTGGTTTGGGGTGGCCGCCACTGACAAAAAAACGTGGATTTTTTTTTCAAAATCTGCACAGCCGATCAAGTCTCCCAGAGCCAGTCGGAAGCCTTGCTGGGCAAAAGCCCCCCCCCCCCATTTTCTAAATACACTTGGCAGGCGCCAGAAAAGGTCTTTGTGCAAAGCTCTGTGGTTTGAGGGCGAATTTACCCTAACCCTAACCATAGAGTTGCACCCAAAACCAGAGCGTCGCCCCCGGCAGTGCTGATGCGATGACGTCACTTCCGGGTGGTGCCATCATGTCGCATGACGTTCCCACCCACCCCCAGGACGCTCCCCCCTCCCAAATCCCCCTGCTGGATCGACGAGGGGACCTTGCAGGCTCTGCGGAATAGCATTGATTCCCGCAGGGCACAGATGCTACTTGGCAGAGGGTTCCACTAAAGGCCCTGGTCGGGGACAGGACGAACTCCCCCGGAGTTAACATTCGTTTCGAGGTGTCTTTTTCATACATAAGACCTCCCTATACGTTCCCTATACGCTGCGGTGGCTCAAGTGGTTAAGACGCTGAACTGCAGGCTGTGGAAGGTCAGTAGTTCAGTGGTTCAAGACCTGGGTGCCGCAAGACAGGGTGAGCTCCTGTCTCTAGTTCCAGCTCCTGCATTTGTCCTGGTCGGGGACAGCTGGATGTCTCTCAGGCCTGGGGACCACAAAGGCAGTCCCGAAGGTATGGGAGACGCTGCGGGGTGCAGGAAGCTTTTCAGGGGGTAGTCAAGTTGGTCTGTGGTAGAAGAGCTGGGTTCGAGTCCTGTAGCACCTTAGAGAACAACAAGTTTCTTGCGGGTACCAGCTTTCAGGAGCTGAAGTTCCCTTTGATGAAGGGTGTCTGACGAAGGGAGCTTGGACTTCCGAAAGCTCATAGCCGGGGAAATCTTGTTGGTCTCCACGGTGGTACTGGATTCGAATCCAGGTGCAAGGTGCCGAGTTCAGCTCCGCTGGGTGCAGAATCTGGTCTGCCTGGGGAGAGAGTTTATTACTAGTTTCTTTAATGCAAGTACATGCAGCCCTGGGCATTGGGCCTGATGTCTCATATCTGATGGCCATCGGACAGCCATGCGGATTCTGTGAACTTGGGCAGATCTTGAGAGGGAGGACAGGAAGGGCTGCCTCAGGGCTTAATTCTCGTGGCCATTTCTTTTTCTTCTTCTTCTTTTGTTAAAGAATCATTTAAATTTAATTTTTGAAATAACACAATATCTAACAATTATGCAGTTCCTTATGCTCAAAACAAGTAGTACAAAAGGTACATTACATTCAAGAAACCAGCGCGAGCAAGCAAACATAGATGGGTAAGACAACTTTACACCTAGAAATACGTTGTCTTATGTGAAAGTTCAAGTAGATCGTGGTAGTCAGGGCTATTTTGGGGCAGGAACGCACAGGAACGGAGTTCCGGCTGGCTCCCGAGTTGGTCACGCCCAGCAGGAACTCATTAGCATAATAGGCCATACCCAACAGCAGAAACTCATTAGGATTGGCTACATCAGGGATGTGTCGCCTAACATGCAAAGGAGTTCCTGCTACAAAAAAAAGGCCCTGGGTTTTGACAACAAACAGGATAAACAGAATAAGAAGCAAAAGGTGGGTGTGGCTGGATGAGCACACTTCTGGTAACATGGGGGTGTGGCCTAATATGACAGTGAGCTGCATTGTCAGGAATGTGGCCTAATATGCTAATGAGTTTCTGCTGTTGGGTGTGGTCTGTTATGCTAATGAGTTCCTGCTGGACTTTTTCTACAAAAAGAGCCTTGGTGGTAGTAAATCATAGGTGTAAATTTACAGTAGCAGTTAAGTGTGTTTACAACTAGACATGAAGTAATCTGTGAGTGGCGCGTTGGTTGCAGGGGGCAGACAGAGACATTTCGTTTGTGTGAATAGCGAATTAATAGCCCTTTCTGACACGCCCAGGGAAATGCCGATCACCACTTTGGGATCAGACTGCCGTTTTTCTCCAGGCCAGTTTGGCCAGGGATCCTGGAGGGTTTTTTTTTTGCCATCTTCTGGGCATGGAACAGGGGTCACTGGGTGTGTGTGTGGAGGGGGAGGCATTTGTGAATTCCCTGCCTTGTGCAGGGGGGTGGACTAGATGACCCTGGAGGTCCCTTCCAGCTTTGCGATTCTATGATCCCTTCTCTTTGGCGCCTCCTTCAGAGGAATGAAGGTCATTGAGAGCAGAGCCCTGAAGGATGAGGAGAAGATGGAAATCCAGGAGATCCAACTGAAGGAGGCCAAGCACATCGCTGAAGACGCCGACCGGAAGTATGAGGAGGTCAGTGCCCGAAGGTGGTCAAGGCTTCTGGGGGGGGCGGGGCATCGGGTGGTCTGGCTTCCCTTGTTGCTGGGAAAGCTGCGGGGAACTGGGCTTGGGGGGTTCCGCTTGTCTGGGAGACCACTGCTGCCGCGCCGGCGACGCACTTCGTGGGGAAGGAGGACGGGTGTAGAAAAGGAAGGACATTTTTCATTTTATTTATTCCTCAAATTTCTACCCCACCCCCCCAGCCGAGGCCGGCTAAAGATGGCTTGCATAAAATCAGCATCTAATTACAAAAGAACCATTGGAACCTTTAAAACAGTACTAAAACCAGTGAATAATAACATAATAAGTGCTAGCAAGCTGAGGATTTTCCCTAGCGAGTGCAAAGGGAGGTTGCCAGTTCTCTGGAATCCCAACGAGAGAAGAATGAGCCCGTTCCCACCGGGTATGCTCGGTGTCTTATTTAGGTATTGCCCTCCTGATGTGACTGCCCGGAGCACTTTTATCAGTTGACACGACCAAAGCTCAGAAGAGCTTTTACTCTGGCCAGAATGAATTCTCTTCCGTCAGCGGTCTTGGAGGGCAGATATTTAAAAGTGCCATACACAAATGGAATATGCAGATGCTCATCTGATAAAGTTGAAACTAATGAGCATATGATTATGGAGTGTCCTACATTTAACGAGTTCAGGGCCAGGTTAATTACTCCTTTACCCCCAAATGATGGGAAGGTCTAACGAGGCACCTGATAGTTCGAGGGTGCAGGTGACGGGGTTATTATCGGGTACAAATGATTCTGTCACCTCCACCTGTGGCAAAAATTTTAGGGGCAATAATTAAACAGCAGCAGAAGAATATCAAGTGAGGCATTATTTTATTGTTATTTTATTTTCTGTTCAAGGCTGTAAGTGTATGAACAGTGATAGAGAGAGAGAGAGAGAGGTAGTAGATGATGATAGATGATGATAGCTAGAGATTACTACCTATCTCTATGATGATGATAGATGATTGATAAGTGATAGATAGATGAAAATAGATAGACAGATGGACGGACGAAGCCAGTTCTGGGAGTTGCGTATCTGTCTCCCCAGAACCAGCAGTGTTAATCCGAATTACTCTCCACTTGTGCAAATAGTGCTGTGAGACTGCCCTCTCCGCTTTGGGACATTCGGACGGTTCTTCCTCCATTCCCATCCCCCCCATCTGTAGCTCTTGAGCGTGGATAGAGCGAGAGCAGAGATGCCCTTGAGATCGGGAGGGGAAGGGGCAGTGTAGACCGGCAAGTGTGCCAGTGAAAGGAGACGGGACAGCTGTCTGGGAAAGGGACACGAGGGCGTCGGAAATTGGCTGACCCCTGTGCCCAGTAGCAGCCATGAGGAGAGTGACTGCCTGCCCCATGCGGCAGTTCAGTTGCCACGGCGACTTGATTACCTGCCAGCCGAGACCTCTGCTCCTAGTTCTGACAGGATGCACGAATTTGCCGCCCGAGGTGAACGTTCTTCCCCCTTTACCGTTTATCTCGCTCTAGGTGGCTCGTAAGCTGGTGATCATCGAGAGTGACCTGGAACGGGCTGAGGAGCGGGCCGAGCTCTCGGAAAGGTAAGCGCCGCCCCTCCGCTGTAGAGCGTCTTGGGTGCTGCGGCCGAGCATGATGATACGTCTGGCAGTTTGTTGGCGTCCGGCTGTGCACTGTGACTAGCTTGTGTCCCGTGGCGAACTGCGTGCACCAAACCCAGTGACTTCTGTCTCTGTGCGTGTGATGGCTGCGTGTCCATATGTGGTCTCCCTGGGGGAGGTGGGGGGGTGGAAGGGAGCTGGGGGAGGTTTGGTTTTTGGTTCACTGCACGCTTTGTGACTCGCTCACTGAATTTTGTGAATGGCTCTGTGCGTTTTCATGTGTCCACTAACAGCCAAGTCCGACAGCTGGAGGAACAGTTAAGGATAATGGATCAAACGTTGAAAGCGCTAATGGCTGCCGAGGAGAAGGTACTGGCGCTCGTCTACACCTTGTCTCTGTGTCTAGAATGGCCCGGCGTAGGCACATCCCGGATCTTTCAGCTCTCCTCACCTCTAACCCGCTAGTTGCGCCCTTCGGCAGTAGTGGCGGAAGTCTTCCCCTTTTGCCCTTCACTTTCCTTTGCCTTCTGCTTGTGTGGCTTTCTGTGGGCCTTTCGTTACGCGTGCGTCTGGGCATCTGTGTTTGTGTGTGTGTGTATGTGAGATAACCTCCTGCAGCTGAACAAGCCACAAGAGGAAGCTGAGCTGTCCGAGGCGGTTTTGTACGGACTGGTTCTGAATCGATTTGGGTCCCCTGCCCTCGCACCGTTGTGCTCGTGTGGATTCCGTTTGTCTCTCATGGCACGTGTAATTAAATTGACAAAACTGGGTTTCACTGTGAATTAAACCAAAAAAGAACAACACTCACCGCGGTGAGTAGACCCTTAATGTATTCTGCCCAAAGTTAAACATGTGTCCAATACATACATTACATTAACAGTTCTAATTTTCCAGATTTTTACCATATATTTGGAAGATCTTGCAACTGTATAACTCATAGAGCCAGTTTGGTGTAGTGGTTAAGTGCACGGACTCTAATCTGGGAGAACCGGGTTTGATTCCCCACTCCTCCCCATGCAGCTGCTGGTGTGACTTTGGGTCAGTCATAAGTTGTTTCAGAGCTGTTCTCTCAGGAGCAGTTCTCGAGAGAGCTCTCTCAGCCCCACCTACCTCACAGGGTGTCTGTGGTGGGGAGGGGATGGAAAAGGAGATTGTAAGCTGCTCTGAGACGCCTTCAGGTAGTGAAGGGTGGGGTATAAATCCAATTTCTCCTCTTCTTATTTTCTAACTGAAATCCTCAACAGTAATAAACTGAACACTGTATATATGTGGCATCTTTACAATCTAGTATTCTAATACGCTGCGGTTTATTCTCTATTAAATTGCACACAGCCTTCTTGAGAATGAATTCTCACTAACAGTAAATTCTGAGAAGTAATACTTTCACGTGCCTCAGCTGTGTATAGCCATCAGAATCCATTCATAAAGAATCCAGCGATCCGACAGGTAGCCGCGAGTGTCCTTCTGTTTCAGTTTCCTCTTTTCTAAGGATCGCTGTGATTTTACAACCAACGTTTTCCAAAAAAAAGTCACAGGCAAACCTGTTAGAGAGACCTTCCTTCTGAACGGAACGCACCTTTCTCCTGCTGGAGATTCTTAGGTGGGGTTTAGTGTTCTTAGAGATGGTCAAAATCTGGAGAATTAGAATTGTTAATGTAATGTATGTGTTGGATACATGAATAACTTTCGTCATGGCGGATGTAAACACGAGAGTATCGTGTCCTCTGGGACGGAGAGAAGATCTGCAGACTGCCAAGTCTTGCTGCTTTGAAAACCGGCTGAGTTTCTTGTGTCTCTGGTTGGGCACAATCAGGAAATCGCCCTGGTCGCATGAGCCCACTTTGGGGCATTACGGCGGATTGCCCGTTTTGGTCTCGGACAGCCCCAGCTCCCTTCAAGGCCCTTCTTTTGCTCTTGGGATCCGGTTTTTCATTTTTCTCTATCTTCTCCCTCCCCTCTTCTGTTTTTTATTTTCTCCTTTTGCTTGACTGATGTCCCTCCTGCCCCCTTTCCAAAACGATAGCAAATGTGCTGAACTTGAAGAGGAGTTGAAAACTGTGACCAACAACCTGAGGTCGCTGGAGGCTCAGGCCGAGAAGGTAGGGCTCTTGGTTTGGGAGGTGCCGGCCGGGCAAAATGGGTCGATGACCCCAGTCTTGCTGACGGATGTCTCCGAACTTGGTCCTCCCTCTGCCTTGCCTCCCTAGGAGGAGGACTTGGCGAATCGCTCTGCAGTTTTTCACTGGCAGGCTCCCAGGACAGTGTTATGTGCCTAATGCAGAACGGAAATATGATGCTGCTATGTACAGAGTCAGACCCATGTACAGAGTCTGCTCCACCTGGACGTGGCTCTGCACGTAAATTTCTTTCCTTACACCTGCCGCTTGGCAGTCCTTTTAACTGAGAATTCCAAGGATTGAACTTGGGACCTTCTGCATGCAAAGCTGGCGGTCTCCTATGGAGCAGTGGCTCAAAGTTAAAAAAAACAACAACCCAGCACAATAAAAAGAGCCCATGGATCGATAAAATGCTCAACAGCTCTGCTGAGGATGGAGGTCTGGTGGGATCTCCAGGCCCGTAGCCACAATGGGGTCTTTCTTAAAGGCACAGCCCCACAAGAATTTCTCCTGTAAATGCTTTTGTTCAGTCATTTTAAAACATTTTTAAAAAGGTGTGCACTCCATGAAGCAGAGTGGGGTGCTGTAGTTGTAATTCCCGCACTGAGCAAGGGGGTTGGAGTAGGTGACCTCTAGGATCCCTTCTAACTCTGGGTCAAGAAACGGGTCTCCTTGAAGAAAGTTTTTCTGCCCAAGGGTTGGCTTTCTTGACAATAGAAGTCGTTAAGCACCGCCTGCCAGCTTGTTCTCAGAATTGTGGCTTCGGCTGGCAGAAGTGATTGACTTGCAGTAGCTGAGAACTGTCATCCAAAGTGACTGACGGCTTGCAGTTCAGAGCTCTATCCTGGTAACAGCTTTTCTGTTGGCTCAATGGCTCTTCTTTCTGCACTGAGAACTTCAGCCCCACCAGGAAGAAATTTGCTCCATAAGCCACAGAATCCTGGCTGTGGGCCTGGGGAACTCTCTTACACCGAGCATTCAAGCCGGTGCCAGCAGAATAATTGGCAGAAGGAAGCTGTTCCAGTTTGCCCTGACGATGCACATTGTGTGTATTCAAGAGCAGACTACAGCTCTAGCCCCCAAAGTGTGAACCGACGGGGGACCCATCAGACTGCTTTTTAGTTTTGTACAGCAGGAGCTCTGAGCTTAAGGCAGGGGTCCTTTGGCACCGTGGCTCCTGCTCACACCATCCCTGGTACCAACCGCGTGTTTTTTAGGAAATCCTGTGGAACATTTTCGCTCTCCTTGACAGCTTCAAACAACCTCTTCTTGCTGCCTGAAAAATTTCCCCTTATGACTTTGTTTTACGTCATGTACCCGGATCCTCATAAAACGAAATATTATAAAAGGAGGAAGTTGGACGCAAGCCATAATTTTACAGATCTTGTTCGGCCTCTTTTGATAGCAGAACTTGGAAGGATGCCAAGGGGCTTTCCCCGTAATTGGGGATCACAGGTACCAAAAGTGGAACCTGTTGTGTGGTCTGTATTGTTAAGAGGCCACCTAGGATTGGGAGGGGGGGGGATGAGTACCCCTCTCCGTGCTGGAACAAGAAGCGCCCTCCCCCCAGTGTTTTTTTACAGTGCACCTTTTTTCATCAGGTGGGTCGTTGCTGGATACCGATACCCCACAGTTTGGTATATTTACTCTCTAGATAGAATTGGTCCATGACCGGCACAATGATTGAAATACCATGGAATCATAGAGTTGGAAGGGACCGCCAGGGTCATCTAGTCCAACCCCCTGCACAATGCAGGAAATTCACAAATACCTCTCTCCCCCCCACACCCCCAGTGACCAGTGTTCCTCTAAGCTGAGTTAGTGTGAGCTAGCTTACCGGTTTTTTGGCCTCCGGCTCACACGTTTTTGTCTTAGCTCAGGAAGGATGGCTTGGAGAAAAATTGCTCCCTGACCCCAAAGGACAATCAGCATTTCCCTTGATGTGTAAGAAAGCCACGAGAACTACGCACTGAGATCTGTCCTGTTAACATTAATGCAGAAGGACCCTTCCGCATAAGTAAGAGGTGGTCCCACGTGCGGAACGTTCCTTGCACCAGAGGAAAGTGACGCTGGATCCAACCCAGTAGAATATGTTGAACGTGAAGCGGCTTGCATAGACCTGTAGCAGCAATCTGGAGACAGTTAAAACCACGACCCTTTTCTGTGCTCGGTCACTGTAGATTTTTAATCCTCCCAACGAATACAGTGGCTTTTCGGTGTGTTTGTTTTAGGGACCCAAACATGCATCAGCTTGATTGATAGATTTTTTTTTAAAAAAAACAACAAGCCGTCCCTGGTTTCTGCCACGGCTACCCTCGAGGCGGCTTGCTGACGAGTTGAAAACGACACCAGTTAGCTGCAGCGAATCATTAAAATAGATTAAAAACAGATAAAGAGTAGATAAGGCCGTAAAAGAGTGAGGCACAGCTGTTCGGTATTAAAATTCCATTAAAAGCACGGGCCGGCGGGGTGAACTTGGCCTGGCATTGAGCATGGAGTATCGATGGTGCCCAGGAGGTATTCCACGATCGGAGCGCCTCTCTCGGGTAGCCACCTGCCTCGTTCCCGCAGGCGTGGGTACCTTGCAGAGGGCTTCAGATGGCGATCTTAATGAATGGGTGAGCTTGAATCGGGGCGAGTGTTCCTTCGGGTGCCCTGCTCCCAGATTGGCTTTAGAGGTGAAAGAGGCTTTAATTAGCTTGAAAGTCCAGGTGGTTATATTTTTGTAACCTGCTGGTTCAGCCAGATCAAATCTCGACTTTGTTTAAAATGTGGTCATCAGCAGTTCACTCCCAGGGGATGTAGGGATGGCCACGGGCATTAGACAGGTTTAAGAGGGAATTGGTGGAGGAGAGGCCTGTCAGTGGCTACGAGCCAGGGTGACCAAGGAGAAACTTCCACATTCAGAGGTAGTCAACCTCTGAATCCCAGAGCCAAGAGGCAACCTCAGGGGAAGGCCTCGGCCTCTGCGCCCTGCTGTTGGCCCTCCGGAGGAACTGGCTGGCCACTGTGTGATGCTGGATTAGATGGCCCCTCAGTGGTCTGACCCAGCAGGGCTCTTCTGATGTTCTGATCGAGGGAAGGCCTCAGCCTCTCTGCCCTGTTGCTGGCCCTGCAGAGGAACTGGTTGGCTGCTGTGTGAGACAGGATGCTGGACTAGATGGACCCTCACTGGTCTGATCCAGCAGGGCTCTTCTGAGGTCCTTATGGAGGCCTCGGCCTCTACGCCCTGTTGTTGGGCCTCCAGAGGAACTGGTTGGCCACTGTGTGAGACAGGATGCTGGACTAGATGGACCCTCACTGGTCTGACCCAGCTGGGCTCTTCTGATGTTCTTATGAAGCCCTCGGCCTCCCTGCCCTATTGTTGGCCCTCTGGAGAAACCGGTTGGCCACTGTGTGAGGCAGGATGCTGGATTAGGTGGACCCTCACTGGTCTGATCCAGCAGGGCTCTTCTGGTGTTCTTACGAAGGCCTTGGCCTTTATGCCCTGTTGTTGGAACTGGTTGGCCATTGTGTGAGACAGGATACTGGACTAGATGGACCTCTGGTCTGAGCCAGCTAGGGTCTTCTGATGTTCAGACTTGTGTAGTGTTGTCTCTGCGACATGTCAACTGATGCATGTGGGTGCCGTTCTCTTTTGACTTGCAGTACTCGCAAAAGGAAGACAAGTATGAAGAGGAGATCAAGGTCCTTACCGACAAACTGAAGGAGGTAAAAAGATGCATATGTCTTTTTGGACCCAAAGGTGGAACAAGGCCTGTTTTCCTTGTGTGCGTATGAAGCCGGCTCTCTGCTCTTGTCCACCTTTCCTCTCTTTTGAGTGGGAGGCGTCCTTGGCGAATCAAGTCTTTGGACTGAAAGCAGAGATAACGCTGGAGATGCAATTGTGTTGCCTTTCCGGGTCAGAGTCTCTTTCTTCAGGTGCCTAATCAGTGGCAGGATTCCAGGATATCTAAAGCCAACGAGACCGGCCTGCTCTGACCGTTGTGTCAACCTGCCCGCTCCTTCCTCATCGTTTTCCTCATTCTCGGTGCATCCCTTCCCACATTAGGGGCTTTCTCCTCTTCTCCCCCAAACGAGAGGACAGCCCAGATGGCGTCGGGACGGCAGTGTGGCTTTATGCGCCCACGCCTTCCGGATTTTTGCCTTTTCTCCCCAGCTATCCCCTGTAAAAGGTTCGGCAGGGCCCTGATCTCCTCCGGGAGCTCATTCCACAGCTACGGGGCTGCCACCGAGAAGGCCCTGGCCCTGGTTATCGCCAATCTAGCGTCCTTGCAAAGATGCTAGACTGGCGATAGCCAGGGCCTTCTCGGTGGCAGCCCCGTAGCTGTGGAATGAGCTCCCGGAGGAGATCAGGGCCCTGCCGAACCCAGGGCCTGCAAGAAGGAGCTCTTCCACCGCGCTTTCAATTAGGAGCTGCCTTAAACACCGAGGAGTGGCCCTGTGCCCTGGTTCTACCACTCTCAGTCTCTCCCGCCGCATAATTACTCGATCACATTGAGCCTATCTGAGAATACCACCAGGACTAACACCTAAGTAGTGGTACGTTTGGATTTAGGAATCTCTGCTCTGCACTTTAATTGTTTCTGGCACCTTTTGGTGTAGTGGTTAAGTGCGCGGACTCTAATCTGGGAGAACCGGGTTTGATTCCCCACTCCTCCACTTGCAGCTGCTGGATGACCTTGGGCAAGCCGTAGTTCTGTCAGAGCTGTCCTTGAAAAAGAGCAGTTTCTGTCAAGAGTTCTCTCAGCCCCACCGACCTCCCAGGGTGTCTGTTGTGGGGAGGGGAAGGGAGAGGAGTTTGTAAGCCGCTCTGAGATTCCTTTGGGTAGTGAAGGGCCATGGGGTATAAACCCAATCTCTTCTCTTCTTCTTCTTTTTGGAAATGGATACTGATTGTTTATGGATGTTTTATGGATGTTTTTAATTGCATATATATGTGCATTTTAGGTAAGCTGCCCTGAGCCCGGGAAGGGCGGGGTATAAATCGAACTAATAAATAAATAAAGCACAGCAGCGGCTCCCCCCCCCCCCCCCCCCCCCCCCGGGGGGGTGCTAACTCCGCAGGGGTCTTGACTCGCACCTGTGTGTCTTTGTTCTAGGCTGAGACCCGAGCTGAATTTGCTGAGAGGTCAGTAACCAAGCTGGAGAAGAGCATCGATGACTTAGAAGGTACGTTTTCAAAACTTATCTTCTCCCACACAGCCTGTGTGCCCCTTTTTACAATAGCCGCGTAGCCTGGAGGGCCACTTTGCAATGGTTGGGAACGAGTTGGGCCGGCTCGCCCGCTAGGCGAACTAGGCCTTCACCTAGAGCGCAAGCCGGCTGTTAGGGCGCAGGAAGGAGAGGCAGGGGTGGCAGCCGGGAGTCTCTTGTCGCTCAGCCCAGCCGGGGCAAGAAGGGCGGGGGGAAGCACTCCTCTCACAGGTCACTTTCAGCCGCTGTCCGCTTCTCGCCCGGTCGCAGTGAGTCGGTACTGGGGTCGCCCACTGAGGATTTTATCTGTGCGGTTCAACACGGCTGCTGTCTTCTGCCTGAAGGCAGATCCGTCTCTTCCAAAACGTGGCCTGTGTTTCCCACCGAGAAAAGGAGCCTGGGCGTTGGCTGAGCTCGTGCGCTCCAGATCTTGATCTGGTTGGAGCTCCGTATGTGCAGAGGCTCTCCTTCTTTCCTTCTACTCCTCGGGGAAGCGGGAGTTGGTGGGAAGGCCCCCCGACTCCAGTTTGCCTGTATTTTTCTAGGGATAAAATGCAGGATGCGTCTCTGCCCGGGGAGGGAGAGTGCTGTGATATTTGAGTGCTGCACTCGAGGAGGCCCGGAGATGCCGTGTGTCTTTCACCTCTGGGCGTCGTTACCACTTACAGGCCAGAAAGGACACGCTGTGTCTATCTCTTGGAAACGGAGCCGTTTGAGGGCGTCTCTCGTCTCCAGCACCTTCCCGTGTGGACATGGCACCCGTGGCTGTGTCCAGCTGTTTGTGGGGTTGGAGGTCTTCCCAGTTCCTTCTGCTTGCTGGTCCTGCCTCTGAGTCTCTGCCTTTACGTGGCCCTAAAAGCAAAGCTGTATGGAGAACTCCTTGACGAACTGCAATCACACACACTAAATAGTCCACTTTCAATGTACTTCCCAACTGGATTTTCCTGTGTGAACGGGAGAATCCCGTTAGAAGGCGCATTGAAGGTGGATTGTTTCGTGTGTGCGTGATCGCAGCCAAAGTGTCACTGGGATAAAGGTTTCTTTGGGCCTGAAGGAAAGGCGAATTTCTCCCTCGACATCTCCGCATTACCTGTTTGCTGGTGTGTCGACGAACACTGTATTCATCTCCCTCCTCCACACCACCCACTGTAACTTAGTCCAGTTGCGGGATTCCTTCCGAATTTGTTTTGACTCCTGTGGTTGTTTTTCCCCCCTGTTTCTGTTTGGTTTCTTCCGCTCTCCTTCCGCCACACTTCCACCTAATCTGCACATCTTCCTCTTTGCACTCCTGTGTTTCCCGGACCTGTGGTTTCCCTTCCGTCGCCGCTCCCTCCTTGCACTTCCGCCTTCCCCCTCGGCGACTCTTAGACGAGTTGTATGCTCAGAAACTCAAGTACAAAGCCATCAGCGAGGAGCTGGACCACGCTCTCAACGACATGACTTCCATGTAAACGGCCTCTGCTGCTCTCCCCCCCCATGCCTTCCTTCACCCTCCCAATTCCCAAGCGCAGCCTTGCAGAGGAAAGCTTGCCCACTCTTTAGTGCGGAGAGAGCCAGTTTGGTGTAGTGGTTAGGAGCACAGATTCTAATCTGGGAGAACCGGGTTTGATTCCACCTACGGCTCATCCAGCCGGTCGGGTTTGTCCACCAGCCGAGGTCCAACTGCCTCCCGTTAGGGCAGATTGTTGATTAAATTATATCCTGGCCCTGTTAGGTGTTGAGATTCAAAAAGAGCAGAGTTAGATTTAAGCAGCCAGACACGTGTGTATTTTTCCAGAAAAAGCAACTTTACTAAATGATTAGGTAAAGGGGACTTGGAGAAGAAAATAAAACAAATCATCCTTACTAGCTCCAAGCTACGTGTTGCTTCTCTAAGGACTTCACTTGAGACTCAGAGGAAAAACTTGAAGGAGAGGAGGGGAAAGAGCAATAAACTGAAACCCGATGCTCGCTTCCTTGGCTCATCCCCAAACTATTGGTCTCCAAACAGTTGGAGAATCCCAACATTAGCTAGTTAGGGATTGAGATTCAAAAAGAGCAGAGTTAGATTGAAGCAGCCAGACACGTGTGTATTTTTCTAGAAAAAGCAACTTTACTAAAAGATTAGGTAAAGGGGGGACTTGGAGAACAGAAGTAAAACAAATCATCCTTACTAGCTCCAAGCGACGTGTTGCTTCTCTAAGGACTTCACTTGAGACTCAGAGGAAAAACTTCAAGGAGAGGAGGGGAAAGAGCAATAAACTGAAACCCCGATGCTCTCTTCCTTGGCTCATCCCCAAACTATTGATAATCCAGTAGGAGAATCCCAACATTAGCTAGTTACGCATTCTTTCACCTTGCTCTAGCGGGGAAATGAGCAGAGAGTTCTGTTGGATCTCTAGCTAGAAAGTAGCATCCGTGACAAACAGGAAATGCTTTCATGGCAAACAGGAAGAGAACCCGCAAAGATCCCAACAGGCCCTTGGGCCCGGGATCTCACAAGCACATTTCCAACCCCACCCCCCCAAAAAAAAAAATGAAAAGGAAATTGGAAGGCATTTGGGATGTTTTCTCTCCCCTTAAAGAGTGGGCAAATGTCCTGCCTGGGTTGATGAGTTCCTCTTAACATTTTGCAAGGCTTGGTTTTACCTGGTTTTCTGCTTTCAATTCCTCTCCCCCATGCCTGCTCCCCACCACCCACCCCCGGTTGTGCTTTAGGTTTTTTAAAAATAACCTTTCCGTTTTCTTGTGTTCTGATTTGGAGTTTGCAACCCTAACCGCACTTGCTTGCAGATCGACTTAGTCAGTGTTAACAGGGTGGGCTTCCTCTTAAATAATACATGGTTTTAGAATTGGGAAGCCCGTTGTATGTGCAGTCCAGACAGACTTTCCCCTTTTAGGTCGTAGATCAGGTTGAGTGGGGTTTTCGTTTTTTCCAGATCGAGGATCTTGGTCCGTGCCCATTTTTGAGGGCTGCAGTTGCCAAAGTCACGTGGCAAAATTGCATCAGTTGTCTTGTCACATGGTCGTTTGAAGCAGAACCAAGTGTGAGTCCAGTGGCACCTTTAAGACCAACAAAGTATTATTCTGGGTATCAGCCTTCGTGTGCGTGCACAAATAAATCTTTGTTGGTCTCAAAGGGGCCACCAGATCCCAGCTTGATTCTGCTGTTTCAGACCAACACGGCTACCCCACCTGAATCTATTTTCCTTGAAGAATGTACCTGTCAGAGTCGTGTCTCATCTCTAAAAAGGCACGTGTGTAACTGTGTGGAGTACAGGAAAGAGAAGCCTGACCTGGATAACCCAGGCAAGTCAGATCTCGGGAAGCGAAGCAGGGTCAACTCTGGCAAGTACTTGGATGGGAGACCTCCAAGGAATACCAAAGTTGGGAGGCAGGGGCAGGCTTTACTCAGCCACCTCTCTGGATATTCTCCAGTAGGGGTCAGGCACAAGGGGTTGCCATGACTTCCCGGGGCACACAGACTCGCGCACACACGCACATATGAAAAATACAAAAAAAAAAATCCCAAGAAGAAACAAAACAAACAAAAGAGGCGTGAGGCACATGAGTCGAAACGCAGACTTGGGATTGGAAACCTCGTCTGACACTGTCTTTAGAATTTAAGAAACCGGGAAGAGAAGTCAACTCTCCTGGCTCTAACACTTAGTAACATTTGCATGCACTGCTGGGTTTTAAAGAGAAGTCGTATGTAGGGAACTTGAATGAAAGCATGGGGGCTGTTCCTAAAACGTGCAGCTAGACGCTATACAGGATTTTCACGGTTAAATTTTTGTTACCCTCATTACAGTTTTCTTTAAAAAGCGTCACCAAGTTGTGGTGGTGTTGGGTTTTTGTTTTGGTCATGCGTTTCCCTCCCCAGTTAAATTTGCAAACAAAACCTATTCCTGAGCATAACAGTTTGTAGGGTTTTTTGTTTGCGGGCAAGGGGTATGTTTCAGTCCCTGACAGGGTCTGTTTCCTGAATTTCATGTCTAAACAGAATTTGAAAGGCAGCAGTGTTACACAAGTTGACTGAATATCAGCCAGTCCGTTAAGGACCTTGCTATAACTGGGACCTTTTGATACCCTCCCCCTAGAATTTTGTGCACAGGATTTATCTGAAGCAAGCCAAAAACAATTGTTGGGCGAAGTTAAAACCTAGCCCTTGTAATTGTGCAGATTTTTTAAAAACCTGCCAGCGACATTCACAGAAGACGTTTGGGAAAAGAAACGGCTTCATTGTCTCTTGACCACCATCTCCCCACCCCCTCCGTTTCCAGCACACCGTGACTTGCTCTTTGGCGCTTTCTAAATGGTGTGCTACAAGAAATGCACATATTGGAGCCCAAAGCGGCTAACCACAGAGGCTCACTGTCATCACTCTGCATGGGTCACTGCTCCTGGCATGCCTAGAACACAGACTCATGCAGAAATGCATGGCAGATGGACTCATAGAATCTCCAGAGTCATCTAGTCCAACCCCCCTGCACAATGCAGGGAGTCCACAAATACCTCCCTACCACTTTCCTCTTGCCCAGATGGCAAAATACTCCTCCAGGATCCCTGGCCAAACTGGCCTGGAGAAAAATTGCTGCCTGACCCCAAGGTGGGGGTCGGTGTTTCCCTGGGCCTGTAAGAAAGGGCCACGAGACCTAAGCCCTGAGGCAGCCCTTTCCCATCTGAAGCTGCATAATTCTTCCCATGCATAGGAAGGGCGTAAGCCTCTGGTTTTTTTTGTGTGTGTGTGGGAGGGGCAGTTTGGCTTGGTTGTCTTCTCATCCCTCCACCCCCCCTACTGGCCTAAATCTGCTGGAACTCAGGGAGCAAATTAAGCCACAGTACCCAAAGCAAGCCGGCTTGCAGAAACCGTACCCACTTGAAAACTTCTGTCCTTTCGGGCATGGCGTTTTGCAGTTCTCTGCGGAGTTTGGGCTTGCCTGGTGTGTGGGAGCGCGGCCAGTCCTGGCTGTGGTTTTGTGTGCGTGTGTAAAGCCAGGGTGTGTGTGTGTGTGTGTGTGCTGTCTTTTCCAGATATGCCTCGTTTCGATATGCTTGCCGCATCTTCTCTCCCTGACCGCCCCCCGCCTCCATTATGCCATTTTCATTTTCTGTCTCTTTTATCTTCATGCAGATAAATGTCTTTGCTTCACTTCTCCAAAGACACCTTTGTGGCGCTGGACTCTCCGTCTCCCTGCAGCTCGCAGCTGTCTCTCGGTTCCTTGCCCTGTCCTCCTCCTCCCGCCCCCCTCAAAGCCTTTCCTCCTCCTCCTCCTCCTCCTCCTCTCCCTCGCCCTCCCTCTCTCCCACGGGACGTGGGGCACACTCTCCCGGGGCCTGTGGACTGTACAAAAACTCCCCGTCTTTCAGTGTAAAATAAAACTATCCCGCTGCGGATGCTGTATCTGTTTTGCTAATTCCTTCAGCCTTTTATTTATTTCCATCATTTCCAGTATGAGTAATAATAATAAAAAAAGATCTGTTTTCTCGCTGTTAGAGGTTTTCTCTTTTTTTCCTTTCCGTTCTGCTTTCTTTCCTCATCTCTGTGCCATTTCACAAACCATCTGGCTTCTCAGGAGTAACAGGAAACCAGCAGGGAGCGCCCCGGTTGTTGAGTCAGTTTGGTGTAGTGGTTAAGAGCAGTGGACTCTAATCTGGGAGAACCGGGTTTGATTCCCCACTCCTCCACTTGCAGCTGCTGGATGACCTTCGGCAAGCCATAGTTCTGGCACAGCTGTTCTTGAAAAAGAGCAGTTTCTGCCAGAGCTCTCTCAGCCCCATTTGCCTCACAGGGTGTCTGTCTGTTGTGGGGAGGGGAAGGAGCTTGTAAGCCGCTCTGAGACGCCTTCGGGTAGTGAAGGGCGGGGTATAAATCCAATCTCTTCTTCTTCTCTTCATATTATCACCTCGATGTCCCTTCCTCAGTTATACTCAGTTATATGTCTGAGGTCTAGGCTTTACCACCTTGCCAGTTCGGTGTAGTGGTTAAAGTGCGCAAACTTTCTGGGAGAACCGGGGTTGATTCCCCACTCCTTCACTTGCACCTGGCTGGATGACCTTGGGCAAGCCATAGTTCTGGCACAGCTGTTCTTGAAAAAGAAGAGTTTCTGTCAAGAGCTCTCTCAGCCCCGCCTACCTCACAGGGTGTCTGTTGTGGAGAGGGGGAGGGAAAGGAGTCTGTAAGCCCCTCTGAGACTCCTTTGGGTAGTGAGGGGCGGGGTGTAAATCCAATCTTCCTCTCCACCTCCAGCCCACGTTGGCTGACTACCACCCCTGCACCCTGTTCTTCTGTGCTGTGGGTAACCCTCCTGCCCATGTGTGGGCGGGCTAGAGGGGGAGGCAGGGGTTTTTCCAGTGCCCCAGCTGTTTCCTGGCTATGGGGAAAGAGATATTCCCTCTGCTTTCTATGCCATTCCACTCTTTAAACAGATTTTTGTCCATGCAAGGGCATACTATTCGACAGGGAGTGTGGCAGATGTTGAATGTCCTTTTGAATTTCTTCCTGGTTGGGGTTCTCCAGTGGTTGAGCTCTCTGTTAGATCCTGGAAATCATGTGGGAACCTGGTCGGGAGCTCGTAGCAGAACCTGGTCAGTGACATTTGCCTCTGTCCACTGACCTGTGCTTTCGGGCAAAGGGTCCTTCCGTCCCCTCCTTCCCCGTAAGAACTGCAAGAGAGGCTTTGGCACAAGCCTACTCCTTACATTGTCCTACTCCGCTGCTGCCCTTCGTGTGAGAGCTTGGAAACATGCAAATGGGAGTGAGCAGTTGAAACGCCCAAGGAAGAGCCAATCAAGGTGGGGTCCCCAGGGTTTGTCATCGTCTCGGAATGTAGACATCAAAGAATTGCTATGAAAGCGGCTCCAACTATGCAGCGGTTTTTATAAGAATAATATCTATCAAATCGTCGTTGCATATGATCCATGGGATCACCGAGAGAAGCATCTACAGCCACTGCTAACCAAACGAAAGATAATACAGTCTCTAATTATTGGTAACGCTAATAAAAGTCCCCGGGGGTTATATCCGTCGAGACATCTTCAAGGCCTGTTCTCTGCACAGATGTATATCGGCTGAGACGATTCTATTTGAGGTTGTTGACCTGTGATGGGATTTTTTTTAATCTGCCGAAACTTTCCTCTTTATCAGGTGAGACAGTTCCCTACAGGTTCCCGGAGATCTTTAATCCTGTTTCTGAATTCCTTTCGTCAGAGGACTTCTTTCCAAAAATGCTCCAGATATTATATCGGAAGGTTTAAGTGCCGCAATATAGCACATAAGAACATAAGAGAAGCCAATGTTTGATCAGGCCAATGGCCCATCCAGTCCAACACTCTGGGTCACACAGTTGCCACAAATACTACCACTGCTGGCCATCAGGAGGTCCAGCAGTGGGGCCAGGACACTAGAAGCCCTCCCACTGTTGCCCCCCCCCAAGCACCAAGAATACAGAGCATCCCTTGCCCCAGACCGAGAGTTCCTATAAGAACATAAGAGAGAAGCCCATGTTGGATCAGGCCAATGGCCCATCCAGTCCAACACTCTGTGTCACACAGTGGCCAGAAATACCAGGTGCCATCAGGAGGTCCAGCAGTGGGGCCAGGGCACTAGAAGCCCTCCCACTGTTGCCCCCCCCCCAAGCACCAAGAATACAGAGCATCCCTTGCCCCAGACCGAGACTTCCTATCTATACCTTGTGGCTAATAGCCACCAATGGACCTCTGCTCCATATGTTTATCTAATTCCCTCTTGAAGCTGTCCATGCTTGTAGCCGCCACCACTTCTTGTGGCAGTGAATTCCATGTTCTCTCTTCCAAAAGTCAAACTGGCCACCTTAGTGTTACCATGAGTTAGAGGCTGTGTTAACTTTTGTTTGGCTAGCAGTGGATGTTGTCGATCATATGCAACAACAATTTGATGTATCACTCTTATAGATATTTTTGCATAGTTGTGGCCCATTTTCGTAGCGATTCTTTGATGTAGACTCCTACGCTGTGAATCCTTTTGGTTAAATCGTCTCAGAATGGGCAGCGGAGATCCCTGATCCCAAGCTGTGCTCTGCCAGCAGCGTTGTCACAGTTCGCATGCCTTAGAGAGTTTTTTCGCCTGACGAATCGTAGAACCATGGAATGTTAGCGTTGGAAGGGACCTTGCAGGTCATCTAGTCCAACTCCCTGTAGATGGCCCTACAACATACCTGAAAGAGGGCAGTCCAGCCTCTGCTTGAAAACGTCCAGCAAAGGAGCCTCCACCACCTCCCGAGGCAGTCTGTTCCACTGCTCAGCCACTCTTACAGTCAGGAAGTTTCTCCTGCTATTTAGCTGGTATCGACTCCCTTGTCATTCCCACCCATTAGATCTAGTCTTGCAATCCGGAGCAAGAGAATCCAAGGTGTACAGCTTGGTGTGGATCAAGGGTCGCACACCTGGCCCCTGCAGGAAGCTCCTGCGGTTTTTGAAAATAGTATGCAAAGCAGGTCCACCAGTGGTGGCTGAAAGTACGGCTGACCCATGATGCTAGTGATTTGCTTGTGTGTCCTTCATGGGGCTTGTGTGCGGGTAAACGTCCCGGTGGCCTGGGCCCTGTGGCCTGGCTCCGTCTCTCTCACTCTGCCTCATGGCCAAGACGACAAGGGGCGGTTCTCCGGCGTGCTTCTCCCGTGGCTCTCTGTCTACGCTGAACCTGTTGCCAGTCCTGGATCTCTTCTTTCCCCCCTTCCTTTCTGAGGTTCTGTCCCACCGAAAGGTAGAGTCTCTAATGTGTGTTTCCTCGAGCCTTTCAAAGCCGACGTTTCGTTTCCTAATAACTAAAAAACTACTAATCCACTTTTGGGGTGCATTGCTGGGTTCTGTGACTTCGCGGTTGATCTCCGCCTCCTCTAACCCTGTGTTCTTTTCTGCCTTTCTCTCTCCTGTCTCTTCTAACCCGCTTGCTGACGCACACAGACCAACTCTACCACCAGCTTGAGCAAAACCGGCGCCTAACTCACGAGCTAAAGCTAGCCCTGAATGAAGATTAAGCTTTAGGACGGGATAAACCATTTTAACTGTGCGTTTCACGATTCGTTTGCCGTTGGAAATATGCAAGGGCGGCCTTTCTGTGCGGAGAGCAAGGGCTCTCGCCTGTTGTCTGTTAGCATGAAGCTGACTTGGCCTGGCAAAACAGCAGAGTTCCTCGACTGGTTGTCCTCTGTTTAGAGTTTCCCGTTCCTTCTACAGTTCCCAGGTACTCTTAAAAAGAAACCAACCGACCAGCCCCAGACTAAGCAGCCTGTATCTCAAGGCTGGGAGTTTTTACTAGCGACTTTCGAAACCCAAGCTTTTGTTTCAGACGTCCAAGTCGAAAACACTCCCCAGCTGGGCTCATACCCGGGATCTGAACCTGCCGCTTGGAGTTTGCCAGGGAAGCCAGCTTTGTGTCGGGTTACAATGCCAGGCGCCCAAATAACAATCCTGTTCTAGTCGCTAACATCTGATTTGTGTGAAGTTCTCTCTTGCATAGCCACGAAACTGTCGGTGACGTTTTTGGTGCTCTGTGGGTCTGGAATGTCATGTTTTTTGATATGCAGCATTGGTTTGAGCATGTGTCCATAGCCGTATGTAAGAAAGTGTGCACGTTAATGGAAAGCTAACTGTCGTGAAAATTTCCTCCATCACCTTTTTGCACTTTGCTTCACGAGCAAGTCCACGCGGATTTTCCCGGGCTGTCAAAATGGGCTTGGAACGCTCCCCCCCCCCACGCTTTTCTGCACATTAAAATATCAAAGGTGCAGAATTGCTTCTGGAGCCTGAATTTATGAAGGACACGCTCCGGCTTCCTCCTCCTGGAATTCCTCTGCCGTTGGCTGTTTTACATGCCTTAAACCAGTGATGGCGAACCTTTTAGAGACCGAGTGCCCAAACTGCGACCCAAAACCCACTTATTTATCGCAAAGTGCCAACACAGCAATTTAACCTGAATACTGAGGTTTTACTTTAGAAAAAACAACTCATACATTAACTTAAGATGATCCAAACAAAGTAAGGAAAGCAATCCCAAATGCTTTCATTTACTTAAAATTATTTGGCAGAGAATTCAACACTTTAATGATGGTCTGGGCC